TTTTTATAAACCTTGACACATCAGTGGAAAGGTCTGAAAGTCAAGGTTCCAAAGTTGGTTGCATATTTTAGACATAGACATTCATTGATTTGTGTTAGGAAAAATGAATCACCTGGTGTCTATTTTTGGTATAACATCTAAACAAAATCTCACATGAACCTCAAGTGTTTGTTATGACAATTTGAAATATGAAACAGTACTTAGTCAGATATTTGACTTTAGTTATGCAACATATTTCAATTCTAACATCTTTTCAAAAATATGTATTAACAGGTATGTGCCAAAAATTTTTATATCGAGGAAAAGTCCATTTATTTCAATAATTTGTTTCAAGAAGTGAAACTTGTGTGTTATACTGTATTAGTTCACAACACACAAAGTTAAATATTTCAAGCCTTCATTTGATTCAATTTTAATAATTATGGATTAAAGATGAAAAAAACAAATCCAGTATTTCACAAAATAATAATATTTCATGAGACCAATTAAAAATCATCTTAAATGCATGTTGGCCTTCTGAAAAGTGTGTAATGTACTGTATTATGTCCTCAGTACTTTGTTGGGCCTCCTTTTGCACTAATTACAGCATCAAGGCGGCGTGGCATGGAGGCGGTCAGCCTTTGACCGAGTTAAGGTGTTATGGTAGCTCCAGTTGTTTTGATATCGGCCTTTAGCTCGTCTGCATTTCAGGGTCTCTGTTCCCTCATCTTCCTCTTGACAATAGCCCATAGATTTCAATAGGGTTTAAGTCAGATAATTTTCCTGACCAATTATGAACAGGGATACCATGGTCCTTAAACCAGGTACTGGTAGCTTTGGCACTGGGACTTGGGACCACTGGGCAACAGACCAGTACTTTTCTCTTTAGCCCAGCACAGACACTTCTAACATTGTTTTTGGTTCAGAAATGGCTTGACATGTGGAATTCTACAGCTGTAGCCCATGTCATGCCGACGTCTGTATCTGGTAGTTCTTAATGCTCTGACACCAGTCTCAAGCTTGCTTGGCAATCCTCTCAAGGCTGCGGTCATACATGTACACCTTTTCCAGCCACATTTTCCCCTTCTCTTAACACTTTATTAATATACTTAGATACTGCACTCTGTGAACATCCAGTTTCTTTTGCAATTGCCTTTTGAGACTTTTCCCCCTTATGGAGGGTTGCAATGATGGTCTTCTGCAAAACCGTCACATCAGAAGTCTATCCCATGATTCTGAAGCCTAAGCCAGACTGAGACCATTTAAAGGCTTTGAAAAAATTTGCAGAGCAGATTGAGAAACTGGGAGCCGACAATGTCGAACTTTGTCATAATATTCTATTTTTGTGAAATACTGGATTTGAGTTTTTTCATCTTTAATCCATAATCATTTAAATTAAATCAAATGAAGGCTTGAAATATTTCACTTTTTGTGTAGTGAACTAATATAACACTAATTAACACTAACTAATATAAAAGTTTCACTTTTTGAAACAAGTTATTGAAATAAATGGACTCGATATTCAATTTTCTTTGGCACATACCTGTATACAATACCAGTTAAAAGTTTGGAGTCTGTTTGTTTTTAAAGAAAATGATTTTGTTCATCAAGGCAACATTTATTAAATGTAAACATTTTTTAAATATTTATAAAAAAAATAATAATAATAACTGCTTTCTTATTCTATGAAGTTTCAAATAAAATGAGTACTCCAGTCATTATGGCTTTTATTACTATTAGCATCAATAATAATAATAATTATAATAATAATAATAATAATAAAAACAACAACAACAATAATAATTGATATTAGCGTGATTTCTGAAGGATCATGCGACTGAAGACTAGAGTAACGAAGCTGAGAATGCATCATTAAAATCACTGGAATAATTTATTACATTAAATCAAAAACTACTTTTGAAAAGTTATTTTTTAGTGCAATAACATTTCACAATTTTACCATTTGTACTGTATTTTTAACTAAATAAATGCAACCTTGATGAGCATTCCTTCTTTTATTTTCTTTATGGTTTGCTCCCTGGGTCACCACAGCGCAATAAACCGCAAACTTACCCAGCATATATTTTACACAGTGGATGCCCTTCCAGCTGCAACCCATCACTGGGAAACATCATACACACTCATTAACACACACATAAATTACAGACAACTGACCCAGCCGGGGTTCGAACAAGCAACCTTCTTGCTGTGAGGCGACAGTGCTAACAACCAAGTTATGTTTATGAAATTTTTGACATATGACCCAACCCTAACCTAAGGAGTCTGACCTTCAATGAAATAAAATGAAATTGAACAAGACAAAACAGGGTGGTTCAATCCGTTGTGGCGACCCCTTATAAATAAGTGACTATTCTTAATTTTAACCTGTGCTATATACTGTATACAGGAATTCATTTATATTCATATTCATTTTAGTTTCTGAGCAAAGAATCCAATAAAAGTCTAAGATTATGAAGGATTTTGCAACTGTGTGGAAATCAAGTCAATAAGCGCTACATACTGTTAGACTCCAGTTGATGTGAGGCACTTTAGTGTGCAGGTTCAGACTGAAGATGAGGAGCAAGACGCCGGTGACAACGAAGGCACTGCAGCTGACAAACTCAAAGAGGTAGACGCCGGCACACGGCGAGCACATCATTATGGTCTCAATGAAGATGAACGAGATGAGAGCCAGAACCTGAGAAGAAGGAGGAGAAAAATAACCATTTAGCAACAAGACAATAAGCGTTTGTTTCAGCGATGAACAAGCAGAAAATCCAAACCAGCATCTGATCCTGACAACACAGCAAATGAAATAAGAAATCTCTATGCACATCATCGTGTCTGATTTGAGACAATAACATGATACAATACAATCCTTTGTGAAGAGCAGTGGCAGTCTTTGCTTGGCTGTTCGGAGGTAGAAATGACTCATCTACTTTCAGAGTTTACTTAGTAATGCGTTTTCCACATGGTCATAACAGGGCCTTGCGGGGTTATGTTGAACCCTACTGGAGTCGCAGAGGGTTCACTGATGTTTTCCTGCCGCATTCATCAGTAAACCGCAGCATGGGAAAAATTCTGAGGTTAACTTGCTATTTAGGTGTTATGCAGCCTTGACTATCCAGCACGAAACCTCAGACAGATTACAGGTTAGCCCGATCCAACAGGGGAGACAGAATCAACGCCACAATACATTCCAGCATCCAGACGGGGGCCACTTCCAGTTGGACCAAACCGGATGCTCTCATACAACAGACACAAAATAAAAGTGCGCACATCTAGGAATGGATGCAAGCTCCCTGCAAGAGGATTACTGTAATGAATAAAGAGCTGGATGTATTGTCATGCAGTGGAATGATAATGATGAGGACTGCCAACAAATTCATACCTGACTGATGCTAAAAAATCAAAGTTAAAGCATTCTCTGGAGCTAGACATTATAGGGTATCAAGTTTGTCATTTTACAGAGGCCAATATGTGAAGTTTATTTATAAACTACTTTCCAGAGGATCACATGCTTATGATTGCTTGCAGACATTATTCAATTTCTGATTCACCAATCAGACGATTCCTAAGCCACTATAAATACCCATATGGTATTTCCAAGTTCCATATGACAGCCATCTTCGTTTTGAAGAATCCCCCCTTCCACCCCTACTCCTCCTTCTTTCTTAACTGGGTGGCACGGTGGCCCAGTGGTTAGCACTGTTGCCTCACAGCAAGAACGTCACTGGTTCTAGTCCTTACCAAGCCAGCCGACGTTCCTGTGTGGAGTTTACACGTTCTCCCTGTGCTCACGTGGGTTTCCCCCAGGTTCTGCGGTTTCCTCCCACCGTCAAAAAACATGCAACCTAAGTTAATTGACTAATCCAAATCAGCACCATAGACATGCTCCTAGTAAATACTTCTCTCTTAAAAGCAATCACTCTGTTCATTAGCTACTAAAGCAGGGGAGTTCCCCGGGCTTGAGGATCTTATGAGCTCAGGGCTCTCTGATCTTATGAGCTCAAGGCTCTCTCCTAGGACAGCATGCCAAACAAGCTTTATAATCAATCATCATCTAAGTGTGAACTCTTGAAGCAGCTGTAATACATTTTTGTGAAATCCACACAATCAAAAATATTTTTTTTTTCTTCTTGTTCAAACAACTTATTTAAAATGAGCTGAAACAACACAATTATAAAGATTTTTTTGGGACAACTTAATTGTTTTATGCTCAATTGACTTGAAATTTGAAATTTGTTGAGCTAATTTAATTATTTGAGTTGGTGAGTTTTTACATTACATTGGACTAAACTGGCATTTTTGTGGCATCTGCATAGTTTTGCGTTACATGACTAAAGTGTGGACTGCAGCATGCTGAGAGGGCCATGTGAATGGACACACACACGCACGCAAGCACGCACGCACACACATATCTAAAGTGTATTAATACTTTAGTTGGCTTGTTTGACATGGAAGTAAAGTGAAATGATATCTTGGTTCTTTTATTACTAAACCAAAATCGGCAAACAAACAAACAGGGTTGTTTTTTTAAACACTGACTTTAAAACGGATTTTACCAATAATCTAAAAACAATGCTGTTAATTTGGCTACACACAATGAACATTGAATACATGCAAATCTGCAACTGTGACTAAAAAACAAGAAACTATAAGTATTCAGGGCTTTTGCATACCTGTCAACCCTCCCGTTTTTCCCGGGATTCTCCCGTTTTCTACTGTTCTATCCCGCTATCATCCCGCTATGGTATTTTCCCATATTTCTCCCATATTTTCAGTCTTTCTCTGAACAGCCGAGCCTCCCTATACGCAACCCATACCGCCGAACCACCAGGGGTCGCCCCTTGCTCTAAAACGTGAGTCTTCTGTGCTTTCGCTTTATTTAGGAATGAAAACACTTATAAATATTAAAAACAGCGTGATTTCATGTCCTTTTGATTACAGGTGCCGTCGCCCATCCTATACAACTCTCAAAACAGTCGTAAAATGGTGCATGACTGTCAGCTGATGTGCTCCACAGTGATAAACAGATGCTGTTTCCCAAACAGATTCTGTACACGCGATTTGAAGCGGAGAAAAAGTCTGGCTTTTGGGTGCGTGTTTAAACAGACATAATTAATTATAATAACATATAAGGATGTCGATCTTGGTGGTTTTTTTTATTTCAAACACAACTAATTTTGTCTTAAATGAAGATAAAAAGTTAGGAAAGCAGTTGAATGCTTTCATTATAGCGTTAGATGTGTGCATTTTTAAAGTGACACCTTTTATTTAATGTAATAAAAAAATCTTAATAAATAAGAGATTCATTCGTTGCTCTTTAATCAGAATGTGTAAGTTATACAGTAATGAAACAGCTAATGAAATTGACAGTTTGATTCTATTTCATTATAATAGCTATTAATTTTAATAAGCTGAACTGTTTGCTAATGTATTTGCTGCTAATGTATGTATTTATCTTTCCTTTGTTAATAATAATTTTAAAACATATTACTGACCATTTAACTATTTATTTACAATGAAACAGCTCCAAATGAACACATTTAGTAATTTGGGGATTTTTTTAAAGGGGGGGGGGGGGGGGGGTCCCTTATTATGGTGGGCATATCCCTTATTTTCACATCCCAATGTTGACAGGTATGCTCTTGTCACCTGGGTTTTGTTTTTGGATCATGTCTTGACCCATATTTTCTGTGTTCTCTGTTTGCTTGTTTGCTATGCACAAAGATTCATAAAGCAGTGTTCACATTTATTCAAATGAGGCACACTAACAGAGCAATCACACCAGAGTTCATTTTGGCAGAATCAAACTTGCCAACACCCTAAAATACTAACATTCACAATCAAAGAAAACAAGACTCAACTAAATTGCGCATGCTTCCTCCAGAGCCCATGCTGTGCATTTGAAATGCAGATTGAGTCCAACATCAGCCAGCATGACTGCAATTACTGTATGAGACCTGAACAATTGTGTCAGATTCTCCATGGCATCAGTCTCCATGATAGGATGTGAAATCCTTTTCTCTTTTTTTAACAAAAACAAACACTGAAAAACAAAGCTTAGGGAATATTTCAGCACAAATGCTGTTTACAGTAGCAACTGAAAGTTACTCCTAGCAAAGTCAGCGAGAATATTAATAATCTTATAAAAAAGGAGAGAGCATACAAAATGTATAAGAAGCGTATGAGTAGCAAAATACATTTTGAAATGTAATATGCAAAGTGGAAATGGAATATGCAAATTGCAATGCATCTCAGTATTGAAATATGCATTCATTGCAAAATGAAATTAAATAGTAAACTAAAATTCACTGTGTAAAAGAAATCTGAGACAACGTTAATAACCCTACACTTTTTGAATATTATTTTAGATCTATTTTTTTTTTTTTTTTTTTTGCAGGTTATAGTGTTACTGTTAGTATGTAATTTACATATTAAAACTGTGGGTAAAAATAACAAATTAAATAAATTCAATTTTGCATTTTACACCGAACTGCACATTTAAGAAATGCATTGGCATTTTACATAATACATTGTAGTTTTGCAGATTAAAAATGCATTTTGCTGAATGTATTTCACTAAAAATAAAGTAACACCTAAATTAAGTAAGATTTAGTAAAAAAAAAAATTAAGTGTCCTGCAATATTCCTGTTGTGCATTTCATCTTCTGCATATTTCAACCTGTCCAACAATGACTGTATGTCTCTAGATCCATCTTTTCACACTGAGGCCAATTGAGGAACTTAAAAAAGGTTCAAACACTCACAGATGCTTCAGAGAAAAGGAAACACAATGCACCAAGAGCATAAAACTTTTTTGTATTTGAAGTTCAAAGTGTACTTAATTTGTCTACAAGAACATGCAAATGCATTCTTTAACAGATTTTCTGAAGGGCAGAACTAAATGGAAAAATGGGAATATATTTGTGTTTCCTTCGGACACATCTGTGAGTGTTTGAACATTTTTAAGAGTAGTGTTTGAGTCCCTCAATTGTCCTCACTGTGAAAAGATGGATCACACAATCACTGTTAAAAAGTGTGCAAAAATGTCAACAACGCAACAAACTGAAGAATTTGGCGATTCAGAACTTTTAGATTTAGTGGATAATTCTTATGAATTCATACGATTTCATTAATTTGGCACAATTGGCTCATTCCCCAATGACGGTTGGGTTTAGGGGCGGGGTTTGGTGCCACACCTCCTTTTTAAAACTGTACATTTTTGTACAACTGAATTTGTACGAATTAGCCACTAAACTGACAAAATGTGAAAAAGTTACATTTCCTCGTGAGATCAGGCTGGGACTCACTGTATTTCTAATGATCTTTTCTGAATGATCTATTCTGTTTTTCTAATGATCATTCTGAAATACAATGTAAAGAAATTCTTAAAAAGCACTCTAAAAGTTCAACCCTCGTGTTTTGTTTCACATGTTTTTATCCACTCTGGGCTGATTTTGTGTCTTAATTTGACCACAATTTTCTCTGTCCAAATGGAATAATTTTTTGGTGACAAACATTATTTTGACACATATTTAGGGAAAATGCTTTGACAACAGTATAAAATACACATTTTACCTCTTCCCAACAGGAAAAACCACCAATCAAGCATGCATAATTATATGCTGTCATGGCTTTGCAATCAATAAAAGTAATTATAATGGAAGTCAGTGGGGCAAAAACGGCCATGAAC